AAGGCAGGCCTCGGGTCCAGGCAGGAGCCCAGAGCATGGTGGGCTTTTGCTCCTGCTGCCCTCTTGGACTCCGGAAAGCACTTAGGGCCTAGTTGCCACTGCCAACCTCGGGGAAGCCACATGTGCCCATGGGGCAGCCGGGCACGGCAGAGGTAGCCCTGGGTGGCCCAGTGTCAGAGGGCCACGGACACTGCAAGGCCAGACCCCCCCAGGCCAGCTGCAGGCTGATCACAGCTGCACGCAGTGACCCCGCCGCGGAGCCTAGCTGAGCTGCTGAGAGCCCCGGGCGCAGAGAGCTCTGGGTCTGCAGACCTGGGGGCAGGCAAGGCTCCTCTGCCAGGCGGACGCCAGCGGGAGACCAGACGAGCCCGACCCCACGACAGTGTCCCCTGAGGGCAGCCACAGGCAGGGCGTGGGACGGCCCCTGGCAGGTGACACGGTCCGGAAGTGCCAGGTCAACGCCAGTGTCACTGGTGCCCCCACTTTCCACCCGTTAGACAAGAGGAGACGCAGGAAGGGGGAGAGGAGGCAGCCAGTGTCTGGGCGTGTTTGCCCAGAAAAAGAGAATTCTCCCAAGAAATTGTTTACATTTTCAGGTCAAAATCTGAACCACAGTGAACATGAATTTACACTTTTTAATTAAAAATATAGCATAATTAAAAATGCTTCCCCTGATAACCAGTGGGCAGGGCTCAGAAGGAAGACCGAATTAGATGTAGATAAAGCCAAGAACCTAATTTTCTCAGCTCCGCTGAGTTGCAGTATGGCCCCAAGTCCAGTAAGACACCCAGGCCTTTTCCTCCAGTAAGCAGGCCAGGCCCCAGGGAGCAAAGGCCCGAGGGCATGTGGGCTGAGGGCGGTTTTCCTTCCACTTTGAATACCTTATTCTCTTTTTTAAAAAACAATTTATTTTACATTGAAGATAGATGGTTAGACAGCATCACCAACTTAATGCACGTGAATCTGAGCAAACTCCTAGGAGACGGTGAAGGACAGAGGAGCCCGGCGTGTTGTAGTCCATGGGGTCACAGAGTCGGACACAACTTAGCGACTGAATAACAGCATATCCGATGAACAACGCTGAGATAGTTCCAGGTGAACAGGGAAAGAACTCGGCCACACACACATATGTCTAATCTCCCCCACGCTCCCCTCCCATCCAGGCTGCCACATAGCACTGAGAAGAGTTCCGTGTGCTGTACGTGGTCACTCACTGTGAACGCAGCAACCGTACACCATGCACTCTTAAAATAACTACTCAGATCCGGAGGGCCGTAAGAAGAACCCCTGACGAAGGTTTGGATAGACAGTCTCACACGTTTCCCGCGTTCCACACTTCCTGAGGTCTCACCAGTGTGTGCCCTTCCACCGGCCTGTGATTACCAACCAATGTCCAGTTCCCAGCTTTTTCTCATTGATCAGTTAGACAAGAGACTGAAATTTCCGTTTTCCTTTCTTTATTTATAAACTTGAATGTCTCCTTACTTTGAAAGTTTAAAAGTTTCTTTGAAAGTTCCTTTTGCACAAGAAACTTCAGTTTTCCACGGCATTTCCTGAGGTCTATCTGCCGTCTTCACCGGCAGCTGGGGACCACAGGAAAAGCAGGGGAATATTCCTGGTGGGAGGAGAAGGGGACGACAGAGGATGAGATTGTTGGATGGCATCACCGACTCGATGATGTTTGAGTGGACTCCGGGAGTTGGTGATGGACAGGGAGGCCTGGCATGCTGCGATTCATGGGGTCGCAAAGAGTCAGACACGACTGAGCAATTGAAATGAACTGAACTTATTCTTGTGTTGGCTCCACCCATTTTTCACCCCTGGCAATTGTTTATGGGGGAGAAAGCTTATTTAAAAGATATTTGGGGTAAAGGATGAAAATGAACAAGCAGGCCTCCCAGGCTCCCTGCTGCCCCGCCTCCTGTCCTGGGTTTGGACTATGAGCCTGTGCCCTGCCCACTCTGGGGCTGCCCGGCAATCATGCAAGTCCGAGTGAGGAGGCTTCACCCCTCACCCTGGCCTTGGGCTCCCGAGGCCACTTGCTGAGAGGAAGGGAGACCAGCTCCTGCGGGACCTCGCCTTCTGCGCCCTGGCAGTCCTGAGTGCCCACGCCCCGCCAGTGCCAGGCTTGCCACATCCTCGGGGCTGCCCCAGGGCTGGGGCCCTTGGTGCGCCCTCAGTTGGGGTCCAGGGGGCCCTCTGGAACGTGGGGCTCCCCACTCTTTTCTGGAACCTCATGGACACCTCTAAGGACCATGGCATCCCCTGGCCATTTCAGGTGTGGCTTTGGGGTGATTCCACCTGCGTCTGAATGCCTCACTGATTCATTCATTCATTCACCTAGATTCTGAACCCTTTATTCATTCAGCACAGATTTATGGAATACCCAGGACTTCCCTGATGGCTTAGCGGGTAAAGAACCTGCTTGCCAGTGTAGGAAATGAGGGTTCAATCCTTGAGGTGGGAAGATCCTCTGGATGAGGAAGTAGCAACCCACCCCAGTATTCTTGCCTGGGAAATCCCATGGACAGAGGAGCCTGGCGGGCTACAGTCCACGGGGTCGCAAAGACTCAGACATGACTGAGAGCACACGCACACACGCATGTCACACACCAAGGTGCCCCTCTGGGTATTGTGCTCTGCCCTCCATAGATACTATTCCAGCTCCAAGGGTTAGACGTTAGGAAGACGACGGGACATAGAAAAATATCAAACAACACATTTCCTCAAAGAGGCCAGAGAAGGCTTGTACTGAAAAAATCTGTACCCACCCTGTAGTGAGAATGAGGAGCATTCTTCCTGCTCCCGCCTTTGAAATAAGGACCGCGAAGGAGTGAAGACCAAGACTCCCAGTTAGGATGAGGTTGTCCAGGCCAGCCCTGTGGTCCAGGCGGTGAGGAGCAAGCTCCCCTGCAGCCAGGGAGGACATGGGCACTCTGGAGCCCTGGGGCACCCAAAGTGGGCATCTCCAGCACAGCCCCAGGTCTGACGTGTGTCAGCCTCCGTGGTGACAAGGGGCGCTCAGGAGCCTGCTTTTTACAACAACTATAAAAACCTCACATTGAGAATAAAGAAGGTGATTATCACCACCCTGAGCTCTAGTCCGGATCAGGCACTGACACCGAAACCAGCCCCCCTGACGCTAGTGTGCTCCCCATGCCGGGGGGAGGGGGGGGTGGTAACAGCAGCTAACTGTGTGGGATCCCGCCGTGCGCTAGCCCCAGCTTTCCGAGCTGGAAGCCACTGCTGTCCCCGTGTTAGACAGGAGGAGCCTGAGGCACAGAGAGGTGCGTTATCTCCCTGCGGTCCCACAGCAGGGCCGGGATTCTAACCCAGACGGACTGTGTGCCTCCAAGAAAGGAAAAGGAGCGCTCAGCTGCCAGCTCTGGGCCCCTCTAAGGTGTCATGGGCCCCAGTGACCTGTGAGGTTGGGTTAATGGAAGAATAAAGCGGCTATTCCGCAAGCCTGACCAAAGAATTCAGAGTAGTTCTTGAGCGCACCTCCCAGATTTGCACGGAGGGGCCGGTTGGGTCGCAGCCATGGTAACTCTGGGGGCCTCCAGTAAGACCGTACCTTAGGAAGGCGGGGACAGGGCACAGTGAGTGTTAACGCGCCTCCCATAACCCAACTGCCTCCATAAGTCTTCCTGCAATGAGGAGGGTTCAGAGCAGTTGGTACAAAGCCTAGTTACTCCGAACTGAAACAAAATGAAGACTAAATTTTAGGTCACCAAGTGTGCTGACTGTTGGTAGAACTAGGACCTGCCGGGACAGAAGGTCATAAATCCACCAAGTTTACGGCCACGGAGAGGAATGCAGGGCCAAGAGGGCTGTCCGTGGGCCTCTGCCAGCCTGCTGTCCCTGCAAACATTGCAGATGAAATGAGTTGACTCTGGATGCTCCTAGCCTGTGGCCTCTCCAGAGCCAGGCTGATGTTCAGGTCGTGCCGTGGGAAGAACTGATTCCCAAGCTTCAGAGTCTAACCTTTCTCAACCAAAGCCCCAGAAGACAGAGGCCATCAGCTGGGTCGCTTCCAGGAACTGCCCACTGCTAAAGAAAGCAGCCTTGACTGAGGTCACACCACGTCCTGGGGAAGCTGTGTGCCACGGCTGGTCTCACCAACAGCTCCCGAGGGCCGTGGGCTCTGGAGTCCCCGTGGGAGCTAAGCGGCCTGCAATAACAGACACTCCTCACCACACCCCGCCAGACTCTTCAGACTGTAGCTCTCTTTGTGACCCCGTGGGCTGTAGCCCTCCAGGCTCCTCTGTCCATGGGATTTCCCAGGCAAGAATAATGGAGTGGGTTACCATTCCCTTCTCCAGGTTATCATCCTTACCCAGGGGTCAAACCCGGGTTTCCTGCTTTGAAGGCAGATTCTTTACCGTCTGAGCTACCAGGGGTGCTTGTCAGGTCTAGCACTTTTCATAGCGACACAATACAGTTTTGGCAGAAGCCAAAACTTCCATCATCCCTGAGAAACTGAACAGGTGGCCTTCCATCAGGGACAACCTATGGACAGCCAGCGACAGGAGCAGCCCGGACAGAGGTGTCCTTGGAGGACAGCTACCCTGGGACTCAGATATGCTTGTAAGACAAACCACCGTGGTGTTAAGACTTTTACCACAGCCATCCTTCAATGAATTTCCCTGGCAAAAAAAAAGAAAATCTCCGTTTATAATTGCCTTTGAAATTTCCTTGGAATACTGGCAGTGCTATGAAACCATCATTCTTTGAATATGAATTAATTCACTGATCCAGGTCAGTTCTGCAAGTGTGGACTGCACACCTCGCATGTTCGGGAGAGAACGGCGGGGCCAGAAAGACACCGCGGCAGCAGCTACACCTGGTAGGCCAGCGGGGACACGACCAGTGGGTGTGGCCAGTGGGTGTGGTCGGGAAGAGGGCGTGGCCAGGGAGAGAGGGCGTGGCCAGGGAGAGGGCGTGGCCGGGGAGAGAGGGCGTGGCCAGGGAGAGAGGGAGGAGAGGGTTGGAGTTTTAAGTCACAAAGCTATTTCCTTAGAAAACGCCATATTAAAATGAGAGACTTTCAGGCCACATTGTCAAACAGCCTATTCCCTGCCTGAGGGGTCCTGCTCCCCTGGCTTTGGGTGGGTGCCCACCATCTTCCGTGGGTCGGGAAGCTCCCCTGGAAGAGGAAATGGCAACCCACTCCAGCATCCTTGCCTGGGGACCTTCATGGGCAGAGGAGCCTGGAGGGCCACAGCCCACGCGGTCACAGAGAGTCAGACAGGACTCGCGCCCACCCGAGCCCGGAACACCACCGGGCAGGCCGTGCAGCCCACAGGGGAACGCGACGTCTCGAGACCCTTCCCGTCCCAGGAGGGCCGTCAGCCGCTGAGCTGGTGGAACACGCAGTCGTTGGGTGGACGTTGGCCAAGTTTGTGCCTCGGTTTCCCCACGGACGGCCCAAAGAGGAGGATAACCCACTTTCTGCTGTGTCATCGGGCCACGTAAGGGTACGGAGGGATGTCAGGTGAGGGCTCTGGGCTCAGAGGTTTGCTGTGATGAATAAATCACGGCGAGTATCGACGCCCTGATGGATGATGGCTGAGCTCCCAGAACTCACCGAACCGCTTTAAAAAAAATATTTCTCCCAGCGAAGGTCACGTTTATTTATTTATTTAAGTTAATCTGTTTCTTTTATGTTTTTTTAAATATTGCTGCTAGAAGATTTAAAAGTACATTTATAGCTGATTATTTTTATTGGACAGTGCTGGCCTAGATGGTTCCAGTTTTTTTTTTAACTTTATTTCGTGTTGGGATATAACAGAGCCGGACATGACTGAGCACGCATGCGTTGCCCGCATAGCCGATTAACAGTGTTGTGATAGTTTCAGGGAAACAGTGAAGGGACTCAGCCACACGTACACACGTGTCCGTTTCCCCCAAACTCCCTCCCAGACAGGCTGCCACGAAACACTGAACAGAGTTCCCCGTGCGGTCCTGTACTGTAGGTCACAGGTCATATTTAGCATGAGCGAAAGATAAAACTCATAGCAAAATGGGGACACGCGAAGACTACTTCATTAGCATAAGCAGAACAGTTTACACAAGCAGGCTAACCCAGTGACCTCAGAGCCTGCTGTGGACGCGGCCCACGGCAGCATGGCAGCCCCTGCTGCCCAGGGTCGCTCGGGGAGACCGAGGGAGCCGACTGACCCGGCTCTCTGCCTCACAGACGCCCCTGCACCTGGCGAGATCCATAGTCTCATACCTCCATTCTGGACCCCGTAACCCCGCCCTCTCCCTGGAGGCCGGCAGGCTGAGACCTTCTGAGCTCCAGTCTCCTTGTTCCAAGAAATATTTACATAAGAAAGGAGCAGACCGACTTTGAGTTACCTTTCTTGACCAACTCTGAGTTACCTTCCAGCTTAAGCATTCTTAAACGCCAGTCTGAAAGCTCTCACTCATAATTACCTTCCAGCCTCATGGCTGGCCCGGGTGCTATTCTCTTTTCATTCCATCTTACAGATGAGAAAACTAAGGCGCAGAGAGGTCAGGGGAGCCCAGAGAAGACCACACAGCATGTAAAGAGCAGAAACCTTCAAACCTGTGTCTGGTTGCCTCCAGGATCTAAACTCTTGGCTGTTACACTGAACACTGGCTGTGATGGTTCATCTGAACCGTCAACTGGACTGGGTCATAAGTCACCCCTGTATCTGATGAAATGTTACTCCAGGTGTTTCTGTGAAAATGTTTTCAGGAGAGGCTGGCATTTCAATCCATAAACTGAATAGAGAAGGTAGTCCTCCCAGCGTGGTTGGGCCCCATCCAAACCTTGGGAGGCCAAAGAGAAAAAAGGGAGAGGAAGGAGGAGAAAGGGGTCTTCTCTCTCACTCTCTGCCTGACTGTTGAGCTGGGACGTGCCTCGTCTCCTCTCCTGGGACTTGGAATGGGACTCACAGCACTTATTTCTCCCATTCTTAGGCCTTTGAGTTTATAGCACTTTTCCTTCTCCGTCATCAGATGAGCTATTTTTTCATAATAAATCACTCTATAGACAATAGAACAAAAGAAGGAAGGAAAGAGAAAGAAAGGAAGGAAGAAAAGAAAGAGGGAAGGAGGGGGGAGAGAAAGAGGGAGAGAAAGAAAGGTATAGAGAAAGTAGATACAGGTGTAGATTGTATAAAGATATGGACAGAGATACAGACGTTGAAGCTGAAACTCTAATAATTTGGCCACCTGATGTGAAGAGCTGACTCATTGGAAAAGACCCTGATGCTGGGATAGATTGAGGGCAGGAGGAGAAGGGGGCAACAGAGGATGAGATCGTTGGATGGCATCACTGACTCAACCGACATGAGTTTAAGCAAACTCTGAGTGATGAAGGACAGGGAGGCCCTAGCGTGCTGCAGTCCATGGGGTTGCAAGGAGTTGGACACAATTGAGCAAGTGAACAACGTAGACATAGACAAATAGATATATAGACCCTGTTGGTTCTGTTTCTCCAGAGAGTCCTACGATACTGCCTCTGAAGCAAACATCATCCCTGGTGGTTCTTTTCCTCTTTGCCATGTCCCTAGAATAAGGATGATGGGATTGGAAGTCTGAGTAACAGTATCTTCATCCACGTACCCGCCAACATCATTACTGTTATTATTATATTAGCTGCTATTGTATCAAACATTGGTTTAATATAAGTTCACTATTAAAATGAGATGGCCTTACAGAATTTCCCTTCCCAATTTTCAATAAAAATAAGGGGAAAAATATTTAAACTGGAAAAAAAAAAAATAAGATTTCCTGACAGCCAGCAAGGAGGAAAAGAATATAACCCAAAAAGGTGCATTTAAAAACCAGAAGCCAAGGGCAGGGGGAAGATTCCAGGGCAGAGTCCAGGGCATGGCCAGTCTTCAAGGCCCAGAAGCCACAAGGGAGGGTCCCCCCAGCTGAGATGGGCTGTCTTTCCCCCTGCCTGAGCCTGAGCTGGTGGAATCAGTTCTAAGAAAGGGCAGTGGGTGAGGGCTACAGTCAGACTGCCTGAGGGGAAGGCCCTGAATCCCGGGGTGTTTCCTGCGGGAGCTGGGCACACCTGCCACGAGGCGGGGAAGGTCTTGGTTCATGAAACAAAGTCCAGATGGCGCGGCACAAACCCGATCAGGTCAAGCCCTTCCCTCCACTGGGGCCATACTCTAAGGCACCAGGAAAACAGACTTTAAGCTGCTTGCAGAGAAAAACAACCCGGTCTCAAGGACGGAAGGCGTCATGTCAAGTTACCTCTTTAATTCAGAGCACAAGGTTTGGAAGGAGCTCCTTAAGCAGGTGTCAGATGGAAAGAAAGGAGTCAGCAGCTAAGCAAGCATCCAGCACAGTGGGGGTGGGGGAGAGTGAGCCGGTGAGAGGAGGGTGGGAAGGGAGCTGGGAAGGGGGATGGACAGGGGATGCATCAAGGAGATGGCAGGGTGGGCTCCTTCCAGGGGCTCACAGGGGGACCTGCTCCAGGCCCTCTTGCAGCTCCCGGGGGTCGCCAGCAGCCCGGGGTGTTCCAAGGCTTGCAACGACCATCCCACTCCAGTCTCGGTCTGTGGTCTGTGTCAGACCGTTTGTCCCCATGTAAGGACAGCAATCCCTGTCACCAGCACGGCCTCATTCTAACCTGATTACACCTGCGAAGACCCAGTCTCAGAGGCCCACCGTCACAGGGACCACAGTAGGAACAATCCTTGGGGGAGCTCCATTCAGCCAGCAGTAGTTCAACAACAAAGTGAAGAGGAAGCAGGGAGGAAATGGAAGCAGCCCGAGAACCCCGATCTCCCCGTCTTCACTCGGAAGAGACAGTTGATCTGTTCTCAAGTGTAGACAGGCAGTATAGACGTGTGTGTGTGTGTGTGCGCGCGCGTATGTGACTGTAAAATCCCAGCCCACTCATTTCTCTGTAGGGCTTCTCAGGTGGCCCAGTGGTAAAGAATCGTCTGCCAATGCAGGAGACTCATGTTCAATGTCTAGGTGGGGAAGATGCCCTGGAGGAGGGCATGGCAACCCACTCCAGTATTCTTGCCTGGAGAATCCCATGGATGGAGAAGCCTGGCGGGCTACAGTCCATGGGATCACAAAAAGTCAGACGTGACTGAGAGACTAAATAACAATAACTCATTTTTTTGCAATCTCTTACACTAAGAGGAATAATCTCTTTTCTGATAAAGATACACTTGTCTCAAGAGTATAAGTATAAAAACAAAGAGACACTTTATTTTTATCCTCCTATAAAATAAGTAAATGTTCAATGTAAAGATTCCTATTCTTTTAAAGACCCTAGTGACAGCTTACAAGGTTGTTGCTTAAGCAGTTCTGATACTAACTTCCTCCCCGACAACCACCAGAACGATCAGAAGTGTATGAACAAACCAGAGACCCGGTTATATTGAAAGTCCTGGCAGCCAGCAGCATGCTCACTTCATAGCTGCTGCTTAATGTCTGCTAAATTGGATTATTTTGTTTCTAATTGCGCAGGGTTGTACCAGATAACATACAGCCAAGCCAGAGCTGATAAGCCCTCTGGAATCCTGCGCCAAAGGAGGTACATGGTGTCCAGTTTTCAAGGACTGCGTCTTTCGTTTCTCTTTCACACCCAGCAGCCTGACTCTGGAAGGTTATTTCCAGACAAAGCTGAGGGGAAGAGGGCACAGCGGTCTGCAGTTGGGCTGACCGTGTAGAGAATGGGAAGATGAGTACCTTCTTTTTCTCTGGAGTGTATTTCATGCCCCTTGATCTAAAGTCACGTTCTCTGGCTACACAGAAATCCCATCCTTGGACCTCAGGATCTGCTGGTGAAAAGCCTTGGGGTTACGCCGCCAGCTCTTGGAGCCCAGCCCCGTTCCTGCACACGCGTCGCTGCTCTTGGGGCCCAGCTCCTTCCCTGCACACGAGTTGTTACTCCTGGGGCCCAGCTCCTTCCCTACACACTCGTCTCAGCAGTGAGCGGATGCTGGCACAGACAGATGCCGCGGGGCGTGTGGAACATCCACACTGAGAGTCCGCCATCCCCCACCTCCCGCACGGCCCCCTCCAACCTGCTGGGAGGCCGCACAGAGGACTTGGGTTTAGCCCAGACCTGGCCTCTGCCATCACTAACAGGCGCTTGGGGAGGCAGCGGGGGCTGCATCCATCCACCCGGGTGGTGGCTCCCTCCCTCCCTCCGTGCGGTCGGCATTCCGCTCAGTCACAGACCCAGGGTCTCGCAGGGTTGTCCGCCGTCCAGGCCCGTCCAGGCCCGTCCTGACCCATCTGGAGCCAGTCAGGGCAGAAGCCACCCACTGGGCCGCTCGGCTCTGGGACCTTGGGCCCCAGCTGCCCAGCTGGGCTGATCTCATCTGGGCTGCCAAGAGCTGGGGACAATGGCCTCGTGGAACTCGGGTCTAGTCCTGGCACCAGCAGGAACCCAGATGGGCCCCATTCCCAACCGCTCGTGGTCTCTGTCAGACACACACAGACACACATATACACATACACACACACGGCACAGATGCACGCACACACTCCAGTTGCCTTCCGAGCACAGCACCAGAGCAGTCAGCAACGCTGGACCCCACTTACCAGGACTCTGGCCCAGATGGGGGCCCCCTCACCTCCCCCACTAGGTCCCCACCCCACGCTATTCCTTCCAGCTCCCACCTCTTAGTGCCTCTGGGACCGACTGAAGAAGAGCATCCATTTCCCAAGCCCCGTTTCCCTCTGTCCCTGACCCAAGCCTTCCTCTGCACCCACAGGATGTATTTCTGCATCCTTCCCGGAGCAGTGCTGTCTGTGTACAAACTCCCCCAAACCCCTGGCGGGGTTCTGGAGGCTGCGTTCTCGGCCACTGAAGACAGCTCCCTGGAGGCCTGGTCCGCACTCTGTAAGGCCAGGAGTTATCCAGTCCCCGAGACTGCTGCTGTTTCTGCCAGTTTTACTGTGGCCAGAGGCTGGTGGCCGGCTGGCACCTCATGAGCCCCGCGCAAGCAGCACCGGTGTTGCGAGGATGCTGTGGGGAGGAGCCTGAGGACCATGTTCCAGAAGCCACAGCAGCATCGAGTTGTAAGAACAGTACCAAGAACTCCTACCTGTTCTGTACCCAGTTCTGCATTGTTAACAATGACCACATTTACTTTATCACTATTAATAAGTGCATAGGTTTAATGTATCTCCCCAAATGACCTAAAGAGCTTCCTTCCTTCACAAACAGACAAGCAATTCACTCAAAATAAACAAGTAAGCACAGTCCAGCAAGACTCTAAAGCAGAAGAGAAAAAATAAAGAGAGAGAGAGAAAAAAAATAAAGCAGAAGAGAGAAACAAGGAGAGATTGGTCTTCCCGGTTCTTAAAACCCTCACAAGGCCTTGGTGATTAATACAGAATATGAATAGACACACAGCCCACTGGAACAGCAGAGAAAGTCCAGAAATAGCCCTGTGTGCCCATGGGACATTAATATATGACAAATGGGGGCAAAAGGGGATTTTGCGGTAAACAGCGTAGGGACCAGTGGCTGGTTGTTGGGGGAAGGGAAGCGGGGACCACCCAGAGTCCATCCAGAGAGACTCCATGGCAACGCTGTCAATGGGAAAGTAAGCCCCTGCAAGTGCGGCCAGAGGGGTCTGTAAGTGGGCCTGATCTATGCCCCCCCGCATCCACCACCCGCAGCAGGCTTCTCCCAGCGTGGAGCTGCGGCCAGACACAGAGGCGCGAGGAACGTGGGGGGGTGCTGGCTCCTGGTCCCCCCAGACAGGGGCCCCTCTCTAGGCGGCCTGGCCTACATGCTCCCTCCCTGCAGGCTGCATGCCTCCTCCATCCCTGGGGGCCCAGGGTGACGGCCTCTCTGCTGCTGCGGGGCCCCCATCCTCACCTCTGGGCCCCCAGCACTTGCCCAGGCCCTTGTCATTAGTCCCTTCGTGTGCAGCCCCCACTTGAGTCACCAGACTTCGAGTGTGCCCTGTAATTCCTGTTGGGACTCTAGATAGAATAACCTTGGAGCTGACGCATACATGGAACTAGGTCTCAAAATCCAGCAGCCAAAACACAGAGGTGAACAGCTGCGAGCATAGAGACTTCCCGGGTGGTCCAATGGTTAAGACTTCGCCTTCCAGTGCTGAAGGTGCAGGCTCGACCCCAGTCGGGGAGCTGAGACCCCACGTGCCTCTCAGCCAAAGAGCCAGGACACAGAAAGAAGCAACGCTGTAACAGATTCAAGAGGGACTTTGAAAATGGCCCCCAGTTTCAAAAAACTGCAAATGTGAGCAGCAGCCACTGTCATACAGAAAACCAAACCAAAATGCAACCCAGAAGGGAAAGTGAAAAGGGCAGAACCTGGGAAACTGACTGCACCTCACAACACAGAGAAGCTTTTTTCTCCGAAATACATGAAGTGCTCTCAGAGATGAAAGCAGAGAAGACCACAAGACCAACAGAAAAACAGGCCGAGGTCACAGGCAGTTCACAGAACAAGAAATACACATGGTTCAAAACACGTGCAAGCCTGACAGTCAGAGACGCCTGCGGTCACAGTGCAGCAGGATGCGGGTCTCAGCGGCCAGCTGGGAAGACGGTGGGAGTCTGGCCAAGCACTCTGGTGTCGGGGGGCGAGGGTGGCCAGCTGCCCACGCTGTTGTCCTTTTTCAGTGGATGTGCCCACCTGCCTGTGAGGGGCCCAACCAGCAAGACGTCCAACGGCCTTTCCCCGACTCCATGACCTGCTCCTGGGGCTACCCCTGATGCGGGGACACTGACCTCTGACCAGGTGGCTCCCTGTAGGACTGTTTGTGATTCTAAAATATGTGCAACCAGCAAGTGGCCAAACCCAAGCACCTGGCTAGGTAACCCGATGACTTACCAGGGCCTGTCTCTGTGAGGAGGAAGAGGACGCTCCCTTGGAGCTAAAAGCAAAATGTTCCCTGGCCACTTGGCTAGGTGAAAACAGAGTAAGTGCAAAAACCATGGTGCATTTGGTGTGCCAACTCTGGGGTAAGAAGGTAGGAAATAAGAACATGCATGTCTTTGGTCTTGAGTTTGCACAGAGAAGGGAGGCCGAAGGTATAAGGAAGTTGGGGAGGACGCAGGTGCAGGGTGGGGGCCAGGCCGGGTGGGAAAGAGGTGTCTCAGCGCCGACCTTCCCTACTGCTTCAGTCCATGAACGGGTGCTTATGCTCAAGGATGGAGAGTAAAGGAGTCAAGGATGCAGGGGAGATGGAGGTATCGACCACGCTGCAGAGTTTGAGAGAACGGTGGCCCTCCTCCGTGAGGGTGGCAGGGCTGCAGTCTCCGAGGTCAGAGCTGAAGAACGTGGCACTTGGGATAGAAGGGACTTCAGCTTGGACCTTGCTGTTTCTGCCTTCCTGCTGGATGCTGACCTGACCCCTCTGAGCTCAGCGTGCAAGACTGGGCAATGGGTCTGTCAGCCCTGAAGTCACAGGGTCTTGAGGATGCATCATGTCATCGACGTCCTGGCAAAGCGCTGGCTCATAGGAAATATGAGACACTATTGTTTCCATAGCTTTTAGCAGATGTGTTGAAAGGTTAGAATTTAATTGCCCGTGTGAACTCTTTTTACCAAAAATTCTCCCTCTAAAATGAAATTGTCTTCCAAATATACACTGAGGCTTCTGTTTTGAGAAGCGTGGCTGAGGGCTCTTGGCTCACTGTGACTCCAACATTTAACAAGTGCATCCAGCATGGAAACATATACATGACCGCGTGTAAAACAGGCAGCTAGTGGGAAGTTGCAGTGTAACACTGGGAGCTCAGGTAAGTGAGGGCTTCCCTGGTAGCTCAGTTGGTAAAGGATCCGCCTGCAATGCAGGAGACCCTGGTTTGATTACTGGGTCAGGAAAGTCCACTGGAGAAGGGATAGGCTACCCACTCCAGTATTCTTGGGCTTCCCTTGTGGCTCAGCTGGTAAAAGAATCCGCCCGCAATACAGGAGACCTGGGTTCGATCCCTGGGTTGGGAAGATCCCCTGGAGAAGGGAAAGGCTACCCACTCCAGTATTCTGGCCTAAAGAATTCCATGGACTCTATAGTCTATGGGGGTCACAAAAAGTCGAATACAACTGAGTGACTTTCACTTTCACGGTTGATTCACATTGTTGCAAGGCAGAAATCAACACAACATTGTAAAGCAGTTCTCCTCCAATTGAAAATAAAATAATTACTTTTAAAAAACACAAGTTGTTTCTCCTGTTCCTCCTTTTCTTCGTGGCATCTGCCTCCCTCCCCCTCCCCCGCCACCCCCTTCCCCCCTGCAGCCACAGATGACCTGGCTCCTGAGGCCTTCTGGTTGCCTGAGAGGCAGATTTGATTATTTCTGTTTTGCTAATAAGAACTTTTAAGTAACTTCCCTAAGACTTCCCCAGTGGCTCAGATGGTAACGAATCCGCCTGCAGTGAGGGAAGACCTGGGTCTGATCCCTGGATTGGGAAGATCTCCTGGAGAGGGAAATGACAACCACTCCAGTTCTTGCCTGGAGAATCCCATGGACGGAGGAGCCTGGCGGGCTACAGTCCATGTGGCCGCAAAGAGTCGGACGCGACTGAGGACTAACACCAAGACCCTGTAACTCTGACTTGAAGCCGCTGAGGAGTTGTGCCTGACCACAGGGCTAGCCTCCTTCTTCATGAGGCTCCAGGGCCTCCCTGGGGACTTACCCCGCGGCAGGGAGGAAAGAAGGAAGAACAGATGGCCAGCTGTTCCCTGGAGACCTCTGTGCGCCTCCGGCAAACCAGGTCTCCAGACTGTCTGCTTTTTATTTTCTCTTTCTCTTCCTTAGGGAGAAGGTGAGTCCCCCGGCTAGATGCAAATAAAAATCCAAGTTTCCTGAGGCCAGAGAACAGCATTTGAATATTCTTTGGTTCCTCTGGTGGAACCCAGTAAAGATGAGTGAGGTGCAGAATGCATCCAGAAGGGACTGTGAGGGACTTCCTTCTCCCCACGTGGTTCCAAGGTTGTATTTCAACCGCCCCGGGGACATGCTCACAGCCTCAGGGGCAGAGGGTACCCTGCCGGCCCCTTTTCTTTTGAAAATCAGGTTTCATTCTCTCTCTCTCTCTTTTTTAAATACTTAAGTATAGCTGATTTACAGTGCCGTGCCAAACTCTGCCAAGTTTGGCAAAGTGACTCCGTCATACACATACACGAGTTCTTTTTTTATAGTCTTTTCCATTATGGTTTATCACAGGATGCTGAGTCTCCAATGCAACACAGTTGCACCTAGAGGCCGATCGGTTCTGTATGTAATAGTCTGCATCTGTCAACCCAAACTCCCTGTCTCTCTCTCTTGATCCGCGCCCTCCACCCCCTCCCCCAGCTGGGGCCCTGGGGGGTTTCCCTTCAGACTGGGAATCCTTCGAGCAGACCCCAGCTCACCTGCCGGTTTCTCTCCCAGTTAGATGGTGCGAAGGTGAACAAAGCCTTCCTGTTTCTGCGGTGACGCTAGGCCTCGGTGAAGAGGCCTGCTCATGGCTGGAACGGAAACCTGCAGAGACAGAGGTAAATATTTCCTTGACAGAGACAGTCTTTAGTGGGATTCTCTTTATGCCGGGATGTTTTCTAGCTTAGTGTCCCGGTTTTGCAACATAGTGATTAATACATTAAACCAATCAAGCTCTGAGTAACTGCTCACATTTGTTTGCATATGTATTTTAGAAGCAAACACACAGAATTAGTCTGAACCAAAGGTGTAATTTATCTGTCTGAAATCTGAGTCACTAAGTCCCCTCAGGGTATCTCTGAACTTGTTCGGTCTCCATGGAGTACTTTTTTCTTCTCCTCCAAACATGCGGTTTCTTGAGACATTGAAAACCAATTCATGGTTACCAAAGGGAAAGGAGGGGAGGGATGAATTAGGAGTTAGGGATTAACAGATCCGCACTCCTATACATAAAATAAATAACACAGTGCTACTGCGTAGTGCAGGGAACTATATTCAATATCTTGTAATAATCTATCAAGGAGAAGAATCTGTGTGTGTGAGTCACTTAGTCATGTCTGACTCTTTGCAACTCCATGGACTGTAGCCCACCAGGCTCCTCTGTCCTTGGAATTGTCCAGGCAAGAAAACTGGAGTGGTTGCCATTTCCTTCTCCAGGGGATCTTCTGAACCCAGGGATTGAACCTGGGTCTCCAGCATTGCAGGCAGATTCCTCACCATCTGAGGCCCCAGGCAAGCCCATATGTACATATATATATATGTGTGTGTGTGTGTTTGTATGTGTGTATAACTCAGTCACTTTGTGGTATGCCTGAAACACTGTAAATTAAATACATTTCAATAAAAAATAAATACATACATAATTAAGAGTTAAAAAAACAAACCCCATGTGATTTGTTTAGAAACAGCCTCCTCAGCCCAGAACCCAACCTGTTCTATGTTCTCTGTTTCAGAATTTGCTCACGTTACTTAAGAAGTACTCAAACCACATGCTCTGTGCCTTTCTGGCTCTGCATCCATGTGCCATGGTGAATATTGTTACCATGGCTGTTTATCGCAGAAACTGGAAACAACTACCCTCCCTAGACACGGCCTGTCAGTATTGGAGGGTTAGAGCAAGGAGGTAAGCATCGTTGGTGGCTCAGATAGTAAAGAATATTCCTGCAATGCAGAGACCCAGGTTTGATCCCTGGGTCAGGAAGATGCCCTGGAGAAGGGCATGGCAGCCCACTCCAGTGTTCTTGCCTGGA